AGATTAATTTGGTATAAATATCTCATTTTTGAATCTGAGGGTCGAAACCCACTTTTTCCTAGAACAGCCCCCATATATACCTTTCCTAAAAAAATGATTCCGTCATATTATTAATTTTGAAAACCAATTATTAAATAAAAACGCGATTAGTTACCCATTTCACGAAGATAATCCGTTATTGCTTTATCAAAAGTAATTCCAGGTGGTAATTTGGGTTTTTGGCTTTCTGGAATATTTTCTAAATGGAGTTTGAAATCTTCCACCAGTCTTGGTAAAAGTTTATATGTATGTCTTTTTCTTCTCCTAGGCTCAGACCTTAATGCATCAGCTCCCCAAGAGACAACTTCTTTATAGTCTTCGTCGTATTGTAATACTGTATTGGGTTTATAAGGACTTTTGAAATGGCCCCATTCTTGATTCACTACAATTTCTATCTTCTCTTTCTCTGGTTTAATGTAAGCATAAGAAAACGTCTGATAAAGGAAGGAGACAAGGTATTGGTTATAGAAAGGTAAAAAATAAAAATAGCACGTAGTGATTAAGTTACCGAAAATTTTGTGCCGAATTCTGAATTTAAAGTATAAAAAAGACAATGTTTCGTCAGAAAAAATTTTATGTAAGAGATCCTTTAGGTTTATATGCTCACCTACTCCAACAACTATAAGTATTTTCTCCTCTTTAGCAAGTTCAAAATCAATACAGTCATGTAATACCATAATGATAAAATGTCAAAAATTACAAATTTGATACAATCATTACTAAATTAATGAGCATCATTTGCCTCACAAATAATCCTATTAGAAGTCATTAGTAACCTTTATTGTTATTATGTGCGATCTACTTTTTTATTGAATATTAATTGACGATCCGCGAATAAATCGGAGAGTCTTACATAGTGATCAGCGGAGGAAAATTGACACAAAAAAAATGACCACCTTTGCATGAAAAATTGTACTATACTTTTGTTCCACTACATAAATTTTTTTTTAGCGTGCAGATAAAACATAACTCAGAAAACATATTAATATATTTTATTTTACCTTTACTTAAGCAAAGAAAAAAGTTTACTCTTTAGCACTCGTGGATTGTTGGAAATTTTTATATAGAAAATTTGTATTTTTACGTGTAACGTTCGTTTTTGCAGATCACATAATTACTATTATTTTCTCTTTGAATTTTTTTTTTTTAAAAAATTATATAGTCTTTATTAATCAATGCGTAATATAATTAAAACAATTTATAGAAATAGTGAATTATGCCAGTGAATAGCTTTGATTTGTGATTTTGAATTATTAAAGATGGCTTTTAACATGATGTATTATAATTCTAATTCATTAATTAATAGATAAAAAGAAGTTCTTAAATTTCGATAAATAATATGATTTGATTTTATAATATATATATATATATATAATCAGAAATAATACTTTTGAAGTGTAGCGGAAGTATACTATAACCGTCAGCAGATTTTTGATTATTTCGCCGCAAAAAATCATCCTGTCGGCGATTGATAACTTTTGTCGTTTAGGTGAGGCTTGCTTGCTTTAAATTTATTTGCCCCTTGATCTGCATGACACTTCCTTTGACGCTTACGTAATTTTACGTGTAGTAAAATTTCAATTATTTGAAAAAAAAAATTGAAATTTTCTTTGTTGTTGAAGATTAAGCCATTTCTTTGATTTTTCTTGATTTGGGTCAGGTTGATCAATTCAAATTTTATAAATTGACGAAATTTTTTTTTTTTCAATCATCACTCCATGTCAAATTTATCATCATCACACAGCAAATAAAAGTGATTTGCTAATGAATTTTGAATGATGATGGTGGCTCTCCTCTCCTTCACTTATTTTAAGCAATTCTTTCGCTAACTAATAATAACTTTGAATAAATGTTGGTAAGTAAACTGTCATTGTTTTTTTGGTGGATTCTTTTTATAAATTATGTTTTTATCATAAAATTTACCATAATAGCAATATTAATGGTGGTGACAGTAGTCATAAGAGGAATAATAATAATAATTGTCATGCTATATTATATGGTTATGATATGGTTAGCATTTTATATAATATTTATATGTTTAAAACATGTTAATACATAAATAAATATATAGATTGACACAAGTATTTTCTTTAGTAGTAGGAGAGAGAGATGGGATATTTCTCTTAATAACAACAACAAGATAAAAGCGAAGATTCAAACGAAAAAACCAAAATGAAAAAACGAGAAGATTGTAAAGCGGATGGTGGTTTGACGAACCCGGCACTATCATACGCTTCGGTGACTACACTACTAACGCCGGGGTGGCCAGGTCGATTTTTTTTATTCTCGTGATTTTTGTTCCTTTATAGAGAGAGATAGATAGATTAATGATATTTTATTGAAATCTTTTAAAAGAAAATAATTAATTAGTAGTTTTATCTATTGTAATTATTTTATTCGATTCTTGCTTGAATGAAAATGATAATTTTTCTTATCATTTGAAAAAAGTCTTATTAGAAATAGAGAGAACATAAGCTTACAAAAAAACCTTTATAGAAGATTTACAAAACTGGATAAAGTGGATTGACACACGTTTATTACAGCATAAACTTATTGTACGTAGCATAAGTTTATTATAG